CAGCTTCCTGTGCCATACTCTACTGCACAGTTCTTTTTTCTTTTGTTTTAGTTATAATCTTAAATTGCATTCACGATTGCGCAGTGTAAAGACTGGACATTGACTGTTTCCCTGCTAAAAATGTTGTAAATGGGGCNAAAAATGTTGTAAATGGGGCGTCGAGTAGCGGTACCTGAGGACCGAAAGACTGTATAATCTCGTCTGATCACCTCTCCTTAAATACATAGAAAAACTACATAACGCCATCCAGAAATAGAAACGTAGATAAAAGGCAATGATAAAACTCTAGTTAAATGCAGCTTTATAAGAATTTGTTTTTAAAAGAATATTACACTTTACAGATTGTGCATGAGAGCACAGATAGTCACTCTGGCCCATCAGCCCTCCCTACCGGCTCTGCACCTGTCCTCCCAACTCCCACCGGCCTTCCAGCTCTCACGCCCGCTGCAACTGCTTGTCCCTTTTCTTCACCGCCCATTACCCTTGCCCCACCTCAACAACAGCTGGTAAGTATTTTTATCATGTGACATATCATCTGTTTTACTTGTGATATAGTGTGAATTTTTATTTCACTTGTATTGGTATTGGTTCAGGCTTTCAATTTGCTGACCAAGAAGTCCTCAACCACCAGCTCAGCCTCTGTCCCTCCTCTCCCCACCACCCTCACAACCACTTTCTCTGCTGCTACAGCTGCTGCTGGGTCACAAACCATCACCCCAGCCGCACCTGAGCAACAGCCTGTAAGTCTTTTTGTGAAATGTTGCATCAAAAAAGTGTCAGTGGTCTTCTTGTTTTGCTTGTCATCGTATTATTTTGATGTTTATTTTATTACATTTAACAGATTTTGTATGAGCGCGACACCACGTCCTCTGGCCCAAGAGCTGTCATCCCCAGCACAGCCTCCGCCCCTCCCTACATCACCATCCTACCAGCTACTCTCGCCACTCAAACTGCTGGTCCCTCTGGGGAACCTGCCATGACCCCAGCAGCACCTGAGCAACAGCTGGTAAGTTAGACTGTGACAGATGTGTTACTTTTCTGCCTGTGATCTTGATTTTGATGTACTCTTATATTTTCCAGGCTGTCGATGAGCGCGGTATCCCAGGGATGGACCGAGTGGACGGCCTGGCAGAGTACTTGGTGGGGCTGAGGAGTAAAACTGGCCAAACACTGAGCAACCAACAGGCCAGTACAATTATAGCCCTGTGGCAG